TTTTTTTTTTTTTTTTTGAGATGGAGTTTCACTCTTGTTACCCAGGCTGGAGTGCAATGGCACGATCTGGGCTCACCGCAACCTCTGCCTCCTGAGTTCAAGCAATTCTCCCACCTCAGCCTCCCAAGTAGCTGGGACTATAGGCGTGCGCCACCATGCCCAGCTAATTTTTGTATTTTTAGTATAGATGGGGGTTTTACCATGTTGACCAGGATGGTCTCGATCTATTGACCTCGTGATCCACCCGCGTTGGCCTCCCAAAGTGCTGGGATTATAGGCGTGAGCCACTGTGCCCAGCCAATGTTTCTTTTTTATAACTTTTGCTGTTGGATTTTTTCTTTTTTTCAGCTGCAGGAATTTAGCCAATTCAGAGGACTTCTTTCCCATAACTACGGTACTTTCTTACAGATTTTACCAAGTCAGGTAGAGCTGGTCAGATCCAATAAGAAAATGAAATAACAACAACGACAACTTAAACAAATAAAAAAAACAAGCTAAACAAATAGATGATTGCAGGATGTATGTGATTACTGGCCACTCTAATGGTAAGAAGAAATTAAGACCAGCTAGTTGTTAATCTTAACTTTTAGTCATTAAGGATAATTTCCAAGACAAAACTGCAATCCAGTTACTTACCTAGGAATGGGGCTTAGGCTGAAAATGTCTCTCTATCATCTTATGAAACAAGAATAAACCTCAAACTTACCTTCCCTGTTGGAAGCAAGCTGAAACTCCAGAAAAAAAATTTGCCTGTTGTCCATCATTGCGGTGAAGTGGCGACGTTGCCTGGGGTAAATACCTGGGATTCATTGTCTCGCACCAGGAAGATAAAGGACAGAGTTCCCTCCAGTGTTCATCAATTTGTAAACCAAAATTATCTGTGACAGGTCTTAGTCAATTTAGAAGAGCTTTTTTTTTTTTTTTTTTTCCCCCAGGGTTAAGGAAAATCCAGGTGACAGGTTTGTGTCCTTATCCAAAGATGATTACGATGTCTTTAATATTTAAAGGGGAAAGTGGGCTGGAGAACAAGGGAGGATATGGTCATATTACTGTATCTACTTGTTGCTGGAGAAAGAGAGCAGGTACAGGAATAGTTAATTATGAACTCTTCTCATGCTCAGTAAATCAGCACTTTACATAAGATCAGATGAACACAGAGTAGCTACCTGGGGAGCTATTTAACCTTTTTATCTTTAGCACTCTGCTTAAGAACAAAGGGAAAAACACCTTCTTGCATGACTCAGCTTTCAGCTTAATTTTTTTCCTTTTGGCATAGTGAATTGTGGTCCCGGGTTTTTATTTTTCTTTCACAAATTAAAACGGATATTTTAGACTGTAAGCCGGGTTGCTTCGCTGGGATCTCGGACACGCCCATCCCTCTCTGCGCCTAAAAACTACGTCACCACTCCGCACCCGGCACATAGCCCTCCGTTGGAAAACCCCGCCAAAGTTTAAAAGAAGCCCGCCAAAACCTGCCCAATAGCATTTTGCTGCGTCCAGGTCCCACTGCCCATGGGCGCTCGCTCACCGGAAATCCCGCCTACCTACCAATAGCAGCTTGCCCGAACCGGACAATTGGTTGTCTGGTTTCCCCACAACCAATCAAAATGCCTTCGATCCCTATAAAACCCCACGCCCAGAAGCCTCACCAGACTTCCCTGGCCCCTTTCCTGGGGATCATGGAACCTCGCCTGGGAGCCAGGTAAATTGGCATTTAATTTTCTTATGCTGGCCTCAGTTTCTTCATTTTAAACTTGGCAATAACCCTTACATAGACTATTTCTCGGTCCACTAAATTTCTCTCATCCTAAACTCCTGCTAGCCACATGCACTGTCTCTGTTCATTTTCCTATTTATTTTTATCAGCCCTTCCCTTCTCTTGCCAACTTCAGTGCCACATAAGGGAAAAACAACAAAAAAATCTAACACCTTCGGACTCCTTTAGAGAAAACAGAAAAGACACTGCAGACTTTTTTTTGGAAGAAACTCCTGTGCTTTTTTTTTTCTTTCCATCAGGGAGTCTTAAGAACTATAATGAGCATGTTAGCACTAGGGAAAGTATCCTAGTCATGCAGCACCAAAGCATGTTACTGGTGGCAAATGCATACACGTCTATAGCAACCTCAATTCCTGCCTGCTCAGAAAAAAGTTCAGCTGAGGAGTCAAAAAGATTGGTTCAGTCCATGCAGTTAATTTCTGTTCTGCTTGATACTCATGAATATTTAGCTCTCCAAGAGTCCTGGAAGTTTTTCCTCTATTCTGATGTCACAATCTCCAAAGTTATCAGAAACCTGCATTCAAGAGCACCTGCTGGAGTTTTATAGCTGATTGTAAGACAACCTTCTAAAGAGGACCAAAACAAGACAACAGTTGTTCATGCATGAAGAAAAAAGTTTTAAGGCAGCCATAGTCAAAAGGTACAATTGACAAAGAAATTTGTTACCTCTGTGGCACACAATAATTTTAACATAACAATTATGGTTATTACTGATAATGTACACTAAGTTATTTCAGAATTACAGGTGTTCCCCTAATTTTGGAACATATACTGATAATATATTTATACAATACAGCCCAAAGAAAACCAAATACCATTTCATATTTGACAGTGCTTCCTGTATAATTTTTATACCCAGTAAACCAAATTACATCATTTTTTTGGACTTCAGGGAATCTAATGTCTTAAAGAATTAATTAAATTAGAAAAAGACATAATTTGATTTTTGGAAAGTTTGTTAAATATAAAATGTTTAAAACACTTGATATTACAGAATAGGATTACAGGTCACTGTAGTCATTTATTTAACCAAAGTGATAATTCAAGGATTTCAAAAACCCTTCATTCTTTGAGAGAGGAGAATTTATTTTCTAAATAAGAAACCCTAATATAAAAACACCATAAAGCAAATTACCTTTGTTTTTCAAAATTTTGTAAACAATCTATGATATTTAATGTTGATTATAAAATATAACTTCCATGGGCCTTTTATAAGCTTTATAACCTTTATTAAGGAGCTGGTTAATACTTCAAGAAAACCTTGTTAACCTGATGCAGAGGTCCATATACTGATTTTGCATCAGTGTGCCTTTGACACTAATGATTAATTATAGGCAAACTGAATTTATTTTATCTTTCAAAATCAGCTCTTAAAATCTTACACACTTACCTCTTCTGTGATAGTCTCTGGGCCTTGAGTTGAACAGCTTTAATTTCTTGCCCTGTGTCTCTGGAGTGTAATTTATTTTGATTTGTATCTTCTACTGGACCTGAAGATGGGGCTTTAATTGCTGTCACTGTTTAAGATTTAGCAGAGGCCAGGCATGGTGGCTTATGCCTGTAATCCCAGCACTTTGGGAGGCCAAGGCTGGTAGATCACCTGAGGTCATGAGTTCGAGACTAGCCTGATCAACATGGAGAAACCCTGTCTCTACTTAAAAAAAAAAAAAAAAAAAAAGCCAGGTATGGTGGCGAATGCCTGTAATCCCAGCTACTTAGGGGGCTGAGGCAGGAGAATTGCTTGAACCTGGGAGGAGGAGGTTGTAGTAAGCCGAGATTGTGTCATTGCACTCCAGCCTGGGCAACAAGAGTGAAGCTCCATCTCAAAAAAAAAAAAAAAAGATTCAGCACGACATGGTGTCCTTTTTAGACCCAAGAGTTAAAGCCCTGTAACTCAATGTTACAAGGACGTCAGTAACACATACAAGAAAACACATGCATGTAATAACCTTAATTTAAAAAGTTTTTAAACTCAGTTCTTTTTCCTAAGCAAACCAAAACTTAACAATAATATGATTATGTAAAAGTTTTTTGTTTTATATATATATATCTCCTCTTATTGTGACTTACACAAATCATTCATGACTTTCTGGTTTGTCCTGAACATCCCTCCTTTTTTAAAAAAAAAACAGTTATTTTATTTTAGGACAAAATTGGCCATACAAGACTTTTTTCTTATATAAAATTATTTTTCTTTAAGCTTTTTTTACCTCAGAAAAAACCCTTTTTATTTTTATAACTTTAATTTTTTTTTTTATTTCCTGGTTCAATTTACCTTGTTTTATACATAACCTTTAAATAAGCTTTGTATTAGACATAAATTTTTCACTTTTTTTTTTTTTTTTTTAAAAAAAGGGCACACTTCTTTTTTTTAGCAAGAATGTTTTCCTACAATGTATGGTTATAGGAAAATACCCAAGTAATGAAACATCTATTATTTAATTTAATATAACCTTAGATTCTAAATTATGACCAGCTTGTCTACAAGTATTTTTCCCATTACATTTATGCAATTATCTTATTTACCTAGGATATTTATAAAAACTGTGATAGTCATGAATTTAAAGTTATGAAACCATCAGTGCAAAATTATAACTGAGACAGTGAAAAAAGATAATTGACTCCATCCTGCTCTTAACCTCTAAGCTGTGCTTGTTCATTTCTGGGCATAGGCCAAACTAATTTTGGGAGGAACTTAGTTTACAGTTTAGCTTTGAAACAAAGATGATAAAAATCCTTTCCCCAAACAATCCTTCCTATTGTCTGTAAACTAGACTTCCTATAGCCACAGGATTAGAAGTTATAGGAATCTTGACTATATTCAAGATGCAGCTATTTTCATTAAACCGACATCAATGTCTTATTTATTAAAAATTACAAGCAAAGATCATTCTTATAACCGGGGTGGTGCTGCATAATCAGCTCCCTACCCATTTAGATTCCGAGATCCTTGGCCTCTCCAACCCCAAGAATGGGGAAAGGGGCCCTGGAGGTGAGCTTACCATTGGCATAAATATTGTGGACCCAAAGAGTTTAGCAGACAGCGATTTATTAGGCAGAGAGAGAGAGAGCTCCCACACTGCCGTGGGAGGGAATCCAAGGAAGGAATCCCTATAGGCAAGGAGCATGGGGTTTTAATCCTTGAGTTATTTCCTCCCCATTCACGTTCTTGTCCATTGAGAGGAGTGCTTTCAAATTTCCCTCTGGAGTGATTGATCTTTGACTCTGATACTGGATTGGCTGCTTGGTCCGCAGCAGAGCTCCCTCCTCCCAGAGCTTTCTGCAGGCTTTTGAACAAAGCAGCTCAACTGAGTTTTCCACCTAGCCCTGCTGGGGACAGTTAGACAAAGAACTTTACCTTTCCGGATGGGGGCGTGAATGGAGGTGTGGTGCTGGGAAGATCCTGCCTTTGAAACAACACCTCTCATGAACCCGGGAAGAGAATTTTTTTTCCTGGACACATTACCTCATTCTGATGTAACTCTTATGCCAAATTTTGTCACCTTATGGTATTTGGCAGGGATATGTATGAAATTGCTTGATGACTAAATGTAAACAAAAATGTATGCTGGCAATTTTTAACACATTTCCAATATTACTTTGCCAGTAGTTTTAAAGCTCGCTTATTTATTAAAGATTTTACTTAAGTTACATAAACTTGAAAAATAATTTGACTAGTCTTTTTTAGTATCTGATTTAGGCACTTTTATGTTTCTTTAAGCTCATGTATTTTAGTAGTGAAACATTTTGCATACAACAAATAAATACACATAAAGATGTATTAGGCATAGATAGAAGTACATTTTATAGATTTATAAAGACTCCCCCTTTTTTTTTTAATCTTAAGACTTTCAGATTTCTAATAACTGGTTTCACAGCCCTAGGCAGTTCTCAGCTAAAAAGCCTTAAATTTGCACATTAAAGGAAACAACTCAGGTGGAAATCAAATAGCAAAATTTACATCATAAGGTACAGAAAAAAAGTCTGGTGGTACTAGAGCAGATGTTTCTACAGTGTACTTTTTTTTTTTTTTAAAGGACATTTCTGAGTGTCTAAACTACATTCTTCTTTAGAAATCTAAGAGTAGCCTCTGTTGCAATACTATTTTAGTCAAAAACACAATTCAGTCAACTGAGAAGAATAAAAATGCAAACTTTTGCTCAAAAAAAGGCAAGGTCTTTGGAGAGAGATCTCAGGTAATTTAGAAAGTTTATTTTGTCAAGGTTGAGGAACCCATGACTGCCTCAGGAAGTCCTGAGGACATGTATGTGCCCAAGGTGGTCCGGGCAAAGCTTGGTTTTATACATTTTAGGGAGACAAGAGACATCAATCAATATGTAAGAAGTACATTAGTTCTGTCCAGAAAGGCAGAGACAGCTCAAAGCAAGGCCCCCATACTAGGGGCTTCCAGGTCTCAGGTAGGTGAGAGAGAGATGGTTGCATTCTTTTGCATTTCTGGTAAGTCATTCCAAAGGAGGCAATCAGAATATGCATCTATCTGTGAGAGCAAATGGATGACCTGAATAGAATAGGAGGCAGATTTGCCCTGAGCGGTCTTGAACAGGGCCAAGATATTTTTCTTTTACACAGCTAACTTCTGAGATCTTATCCGGAAGCTGCTGATCACCAGTTACAGGTGTTTCTATTTAGTGTGAGACTGTCCTTCCCTGGCACCAGCTGCGACCAATTATTATTGTAGCGCGACAGCTTAACAACTGCCTTACCATCACCTGATGGTTGCGTGACAATCCTGGTGGGGGGCCCTTTTCCTGCCCTGCTCATGTCTGCCTGACTACTACCGCAGCAGACAGAGTCTTCTGAGATCTAAAACTCTACTCTCTTTTGTATTGCTTTACCTGATCTTTTTGGTTGAGGGGAGATGGTGATAACAGAAATTACTTTGTATTTTTTTTTTTAATTATTTTTTTTTCCCATTTATTTATTTTATTGCATTTTACATTTTGGGGTACATGTGAAGAACATGCAAAATTGTTGCA